CTCTCTCTGACCTTTTCCCCTCTCCCATCCTACTAGTGAAATCTAGGACCCATTAAAGTCAGTAGGACTTCTGCTGCTGACCTCACTGATGCCAGGACTTCACCCAGTCCATTCCCTCACATGAATTTGTCTCCCTGTCCCCCAAATCACATTGTTTCTTGGTCTCTCTCACATGCCCATCCTCAGTGCACTACTGGACATGTAGGGGTATACCAGGGAATAGAAAGCACAGCGTAAATGAATCAAAGTCCAGGATGAGCTGGGCTAAAGCTGGCAGTCTATGCATGTGTGCTACAGGCAGTGTAACATGGAATTAGGGGGCAAGCCCTGCCCAGCAATCCCTCCTGAACCTGGAGGTGCAATCCCAGTTTCTGGCTTGGAGATAAGGGCAGGAAGCCTCAGCCCAAAGTGATGTATCGACACATTATCCCTGGGCTGCTTCAGTGCTACTGGTTCCACTGGCTGTAGAAACTCCACACTCCTATTCTGGCAGGTCCTTGGCCTCCTGATCTTATTTCCAGTAAAGGAGATGGTGTAAGCCCTGCAGTCCTGTTGCCCCTTCCTGTGGGGTTTTGCATCCAATTGAGGAGAGGAGGGCACTGATTCTTTGAAGACCAGTTTTGTTTTGTGCCCTCTGAGAAGGGGGCCAGTGACACCTTTGTTCTATTTTGCCGACAGCTAGAGATGACTTCACTTCAGTTGTCTCTGAAATTATGATGTATATCCTTCTGGTCTTCCTCACCTTGTGGCTGCTGATCGAAATGGTCTATTGCTACAGGAAGGTCTCCAAAGCAGAGGAAGCTACCCAGGAAAATGCGTGAGTATAAAAACCCTGCAGGCTTGCAAACGCATGCAAGCTGTCCTCCTCCACAGAAATACCAGGTCATTCAGAGGGTTCACCAGACCTCTGACTCTGGGGCTGTAAGGAAAAGGGTTCTGGTCTCATATTAATTTCTCCCAGATGCTTTGGCTATGTCTCTCTCCATTGCAAAATGTAGCTGTATCGTGAATGACAGCACACCAGCTTAGCAGAGGGTGGTATTCAGGATGGAGGTGGATTGGGTAAACGTGGGCAGGGCCTTGTTAAAATGCTACAGATGTTTTCCCAGGACCTCCATGCAACACACTTGACAGGTTAAAAAAAAATAAGGCCGTTTAAGTGTTAGCCTGCTTTGTCCCTTTCCCTCTTCTTGAGGCAACAATGCTTTTGTCCATTGTGGGAGTGAGAAGTATTCTAGCACTCGTTAACTACATCCAACTTTGCCCTGTCCTTGAGGGAGACGTTTGCTGACGATGTTTTCTGAAGGGAAGTCACAGCTGCTGTGCTGTCGACCCAGCCAAAGGCAATTGAGGCCTAGTATTTCAGAGGTGCTAGGTTATGGGTGCTTGGTCTCTGAAAATCAGACCATGAAAGCTCTCCAGCATCTGGGGTGACCATTTGCTCTTCCACCCACAGGACTGACTACCTTGCGATTCCATCAGAAAACAAGGAAAACTGTTCGGTGCCTGTGGAGGAGTAGCAAAGGGGAGACGGTGGCATGATGCGCCACAAAGTAGGTGAGTTCAGTCCGGTTCCAGGGAACGGCTGATTCCACCATTTGGAAGTGGTAGGAGAAAGGACCCACTTCCTCTGGGGTGGGCTTGAAATGGAGAGATGTGTTATACTGACAAAAATCTTGGAAAATTGGTGAGGTGAGGGGAATGATCCATGAAGTCCCAGGTTGGTTCTTTGTCTGAGGCTTCCCTGGTGGCCTTCGAAGCAGTTGGCATGTAGACACTGGGGGTGGGTTTAGATTATTTTTAAACTCAGTAGAACAAGACCTGGCTGTGCCTGAGCCTTTTTCTGCCAGGAATCTATCAATCATCCATTGATCTATGCCCCCCACATCACCAGGAGCAGCTGAGCACTTCAGTCTTTAGTGCGTTTATCCTCACAGCAGGGAGACGCTACTATCCCCATTGTGCATATGGGGAACTGAGCGAGGGAGACTAAGACTAGATCAAAAAAAAGGACTTTACTCACCTGGGTCCCCTGGACCTCCCCAAGTCAAAAGGTGTGTATTTGTGGTGGGGGGCACCTGCTTCTCAGCTGCTCTGCAATAAGTGTTGTGCACCTCCTCAGAATATGGTAGCCTTTATGCCAGGGTCACACTGCCCTGCCACCTGCTTGGCTTCGGACCACTACAGCTAACTACCTCTCTCTATCCCGTGGTAAGTGGAAGCTTAACCCTGAATAAAACAACTGCTAAATTAATGTAGTTTAACAGTTCTAGTTTTGCTTCCACTTACTGCGGAATAGCACCAATCCATGAACAATACATATTGCATGTGGTAAATCCCACCCCAACCCCTCCTCCTTTTAACTCATTGTAATTTGTTCATCTGTCCCCTTCTATCTTTCCTCTCCATATTTAAAAAAAAAAAGTTACTTTCCCTTTTTTCCCCTAAAGAAGCCCCAGTACCTATATCGTCACACCAGAATCCCAGATCCAAATTTTAGACATCTAAACCCCATCTCCACCTTTCACATGACTTGCTGTAGCATTGATCTGCATCTGCCTACACAGACCCAAGGAAACATCGCCATAATACAAGACCATGTCTCCGTGGATGAGGAACGAGTCACATCCAGGCTTTTCTGTTTCTTGCAGGGGCTCTGAAGTTGGGAGGACCATGCAATTCCAGTCAGGTTTGGGGGAACCCTACAGCATCAGGAGGAAATGAGGGAAAGTGTAAAAATCCCTTCTGTTTGCCTTGGACTTTATACAGCCTTGACATCAGCTTCATGATTCCATCCTGAGCTGCCAGCCTGTTTGCTAAAGGACTCTCCTTTGAAGCATGCTGAGCGAAGGGCATGGGGGTATGGGCAGCACGGCTCCTTCCCAAGTTTCAGCCCCCACCTCACCCTAATGGCTCTGTAAATATCGGTGTCATTTCTCACCCCCCTCCACATTCTCCTTTGTTTGCAAACGATGCTAATCCTGCCTGGGAGCTTAGTGGTGTGTCACATTACTCTGCCCTGTGTGACCTGGAGAAGGGTCATCTTAGTACAATGCTCAGCCATTTGGTAAAGCAAACTTAGTCACTGGAGTATCCCAACCCTGCACCTGCTGCCTCCCCTTTAGGTGCCTGCCTCTTGGTTGCGGCTGCAAGCATGAGACGGAGGCTGGGGGATACCAGAGTGCCCCAAACAGCTTGATACTGCACCAGCTGTCTGGGACATGGGCACTGCTTGTTGCTGAGGAGGGGATTGCGAGAATTCACCCCAAATGGAAAGCATCACTGCCAATCTGGGAGCCCCCCATGCTGATTTGTAACAACTCTACACTGATGTCTGTTGCATTCAATGACTTGGGTGTCAGTGTTGTGTTGTGTCTGCTAGTCTTGCATTGCCACTTCACCCTTCAGATAGTCTGAGTGTTTCCTCATCGCTGACATAACCTCCATCAAACAGCAGCAACACACAGAGGAGCAGCATGAGAGAGATTTAGCCTACTAGAGGATGCTGCTAATTTCAGGAGGACTAGAAAGCCAGCAAGCCTGAAGACAGGACACTGGTTTAGGTAAGAAAGTGAATGAAAACGGATTATTCTTTCATAGGGAAGTTGGGACAAGGCTTTGGGATTTGTGGAGCAGAGATAAGGCAGGCTAGCAGCACCACCTAGTGATTTTAGAAAGGAAATGCTTGTTTTCTTTATAACCATTAAGGATGCATTATTATTTCCCCTTGATAATATGAGCTGCTATTGCACAAGATTCCTATTGCAAATCAAGTCTCTCTTAAAACACAACTACAGTTTGTTAGGGTAAAGGGTTATGGCGTCATTAAACAGACCATGTAGCATGATGACTGAAGTTTAGAGTTAGAACCCAAGCTGGTTAGAGGTGTTTCTTTGTGGGAGGAAGTGGCCAATAAAGGGGAAGCTGTGCCCCATTCATGAAACAGGAGGATGTTTCCTCAGAGCAGATAGTGTGACATCCCTGCTGCATTAGTAGCTTTGCCGCTTGTAAGAATTCAGATGGTTCTGCCACACCGACTCTTTGCTTCCAAGTAGATAAAATGCTCCCCATCCAGGCATGCTTCCTGTGTAGCCTTCCTCTGCTTTATGCTACAGCTTAGAGATGACTCTCCTGTGACTGAACCAAATTGGATGAGAATCTGCCCATTGTCCTGGTTTTAATAATAGGACAAATTGAAAGCCCAGCCTCAGAGGGTTGAACTGTAGCATGTCCAAAACCAGATCCCGGTCTCACATCTCAAACCTAAATTAAGCATGCTTTGTGTATAATGCCACTAAGATTGGGCACTGTTTTCTTAGTACCCCGTGTTTAAAACAGAGGAAAGTGTCTCCACTTTTGGTTCCTTTTGGATGTCTTCATTTTTCTCAATGCTTGCTCATCAAGCCTAAGATACTATTGTGCATAACACTAACCCTGGGGGCCTAGCCCCAGGACTCAGGCAGTGGGAATAAATCTTGACTTCATGGTTCCAGGTAGCCACAGCCTTGATGCACTGTGTGACTTTAGGTAGGTCACTTAACCTTTTTCATGCTTCAGTTTCTTCATATGTAGGATGAAGATGCTCCAGCAAAGCCACAGGGTTCTTTAAGAGTTACTGAATGATAAAATGCTGAGAGCTGCCTCAGAGGGAAAGAGGGAAAGAAGGGTTGTGTTTAATCCCCTATGCTTTCCTTTCATGATTTTGTCTCAAGATGCTGTTGTGTGTGGCTTTCATCTTCCACTCACCCACTTCTTTAAGAGGCACTCCAGCAGACAGGCACTACCAATCTCCTGTGAGTATTTTCAGGCAGGGGGAAGCATTAAGGTTTCACCTCCCCATTGGAAAAAAAGGGTGTTAAAGGCTGTTTGTGTCTTCTGGGAAGATCTTCCCCACCTGGTGTCAGGAAAGACCCCCTGTGTATATGGAAATGACATGAGAGACTTAAGAAGTAGGTAGGACAATAAAACAGAAGCACTCCATGAACTCAAGAGTCACTCTGTCATTTGTTCAATACTTTTTTATTCATACTGTACTTCCGTTGTACTAGCTACTTTACAGTAAGATTTGGCTGTGTAGCCTTTATAACTCCTAGGATCTAGCAGGTAAGTTTCATTATCGGGCTTATCGCACCTTGCGCACAGCGCAAAGTTTATTACAGTTACAGAGCCAAACACAGAGAGCCAGACAACCCCGAAAACACAACTGGTGTTCATTGTGCACGTGGCCCAGCCCCAGAGTCTGTCTTACTACTACAACCCATGTCCGCTCTAAACCAGGCGGATGTAGGTCCTTGGCCTGTCGCCCCTCCTTTCCCACCATGTGGTGTTACAAGTCAGAAGGGTTGGGCACTCCTTGGGGCTGACCACACAACCCCCTCCTGTTGAAATAGATCAATCCTTACTAACTGGGGATGATTTGCAGCAGTCAAGGTTGCAGGAACCTGGCCCATGACTGGGGGGAAAGAGCTATTTCAGGAACGCAGCAGCATTATCCAGCCCTGGAGCACTTGGTGAGCTGGGGAAAATAATGCAAAGCAAACTGCTGGTAACACCCCAAACGTGCGGTCACAATACTATACCAGGCTCAGGGCAGGCAGCATCCGCTCACAGCGGGGAGGTTCAGTTTGCTCAGCCTTCCCTTCCAACTGCACTGGACCAAGAGTGCGGGTAAGTGCTTCCATGTTTGTTCTGTTAAGTACCCTTTACAGGGGAAGGTGGGCTAGCCAGCAATACAGATGAACAACGCAGAGCTGCTGCTGCTTAGCAGCTCTCAGACTCTGGTGCCACAGGGGATAGTTTGGACTGAGACTGGGGCTACAGCAATGCAGCTCAGCTCTCGAGCCTCCTG